TTTCCTCTTGTTAATGTGGTGTATCACATTGATTTGCACATATTGAACCATCCTTGTGGCCCTGGAATGAATCCAAATTGGTGTATGATTATTTTTTTTCTATTGTGGATTTTGTTTGCTAATATGTTGTTGAAGATTTTTGCATCTATATTCAACAAAGATATTGACATGTAATTTTCTTTCTTTGTAGTGCCTTTTTTTGATTTAGTATCAGGGTAATGGTGGTCTTGTGAAATGAATTTTGGAGTAATCCTTCAATTATTTGGAATAGTTTGAGAATGATCAGTACAAGTTCTTCTTTTTATGTTTGGTAGAATTCCCTAGTGAAGCCCTCCAGTCATGGACTTTTGTTTGCAGGGAGATAATATTTTGCTTGTTTGTTTATTACAGATCCTACTTCACTTCTAGTGATTGGTGTGTTCAAATTATCTGTTTCTTCTTGAATCACTCTTAGCAGGCTGTATGTTTCTAGAAATTTGTCCATTTCTTCTAGATTATCCAATTTATTTGGCATATAACTGTTCATAGTATTCTCGTTTTTTTTGTATTTTGGTAGTATTCGTTATTGCTCCTCTGTCATTTCTTATTTCGTTTATTTGGATCCTCTATTTTCTTCTTGGTGAGCCTGGCTAAAAGTTCATCAATTTTGTTTATATTTTCAAAATACTGGCTCTTGCTTTCATTGCTCTTTTGTCATTTTTATTTTATTTTACTCATTTCCTTTCCAACCTTTATTATTTCCTTCATCCTGCTGACTATGGGCTTCATTTGTACTTTTCCTAATTCTTTTAGGTGGTAAGTTACCTTGTTTATTTGAGACTTTTCTTGTTTTTTGATGGAGGCCTGTATCACTATGAACTTTGCTCTTAGAACTGCTTCTGCTGCCTCCCAAAGATTTTGTCAAGTTGTGTTTTCATTTTCTTTTGTCTTGAGGTATTTTCTGATTTCTGCTTTGATTTCATCTTTGACCCACTGGTTTTTTATTAGCATGTTGTTTAGTCTCCATGTGTTTGTTCTTTTCCCATTTTTCTTTCTGTAGTTGATTTCTATGTTTATACTGTTGTGATCAGAACAATTACTTGAAATAATTTCTATTCCCTTAAATTTGTTGAGTCTCGTTTTGTGACCTGGAATGTGGTTTATCCTGGAAAATGTTCCATGTGTGTTTGAAAAGAATATGTGTTCTGGGTTTTTTGGATGTAGTGTCCTACAAATATCAATTAAGTCCAACCAGTCTATTGTATCATTTAGGGCCTCGGTTGCCTTATTGATTTTCTGTCTGGGTCATCTGTCTATTGATATCAGTGGGCTGCTACAGTCTCCTACTCTTATTATATTATTGTCAATTTCTCCCTTCATGTCCCTTAGTATTTGCTTTATATATTTAGGTGCTCCACTATTGGGTGCATATATGTTAACAAGTTTAATATTATCTTCTTGTATTGATCCTTTTATCGTATATAATGCTCTTGTCTTTCTTTACTTTTTTAAAGTCTATTTTGTCTGATATGAGTATTGTTACCCCCACTTTCTTGTTGTTTCCATTGGCATGAAGTATCTTTTCCATCCTCTAACTTTCAGGCTGTGTGTCTTTCACTCTGACGTGAGTCTCTTGTAAGCTACATATTGAACAGTCTTGTTTTTTAATCCAGTCAGCACTCTATGTCTTTTAATTGGAACAATTTTTGTATTGACATTTAAAGTAATTGTTGATAGATATGTACTTACTGCCATTTTATTCCTTGTTTTCCAGTCTTTTGTTTTGTTTGGTTTGGTTTTTGGTTCATTTCTTCTTTTTGATTTTCCTGCTTGGGTTTGATGATTTTCTTTTATGGTATACTTGAGTTCCTTTCTTTCTGGCTTTTGTGAATCTACTGTAGTTTTTTGATTTGTGGTTACCATGAGGCTCATTATATTGACCCAAAACTATACTTAGTTGCTTTAAACTGATAATCATTTAAATTCAAATACATTCTAAAAGATCTATTTTTTAACTCCTCTCCCACATATTTTGAGTTTTTGATGTCCTAGTTTACATCTTCATGCTTTTACTTTTACTGTTTATTTTAGTTATAATCCCTTTTACAATTTTTGTTTGTCTTTTAATCTATGTACTGGCTTATTTAAGTGATCTTCAGTCCTTATTATATATTTGACTTTCATATTGGGATTTCCCTTTCCTATAAATTCTTGATTCTTTTCTATTTAGAGAAGACCCTTCAATATTTCTTTTAGGGTAGGTTTAGTATGCTGAATTCTTTTAGTTTTTGCTTGTTTGATACATCCTTTATCTCTCTTTCTATTCTAAATAATAATGTTGCTGGATAGAATATCCTAGGTTGCAACTTTTTCCCTTTCAGGACTTTGACTACATTGTGCCACTCCCTTCTAGCCTGCAAAGTTTCTGCAGAGAAATCAACTAATAGCCTTATGGGGGGGGTCCCTTGTAAATGACTGTCACTTGCTGCCTTTAGAATCTTCTCTTTATCTCTAACTTTTGCCATATTAATTATGATATGTCTTGGCATGGGTCTGTTTGGATTCATCTTGTTTGGGACCCCCTGCGCTTCCTGTACCAGGATGTCTGTTCCCTTCTTTAGATTTGGGAAGTTTCAGCCATAATTTCTTCAGATATATTTTTGATACCCATCTCTCTCTTCTCTTTCTGGAACACCTGTTATGCGTAGGTTGGCACATTTTACATTATCCCATAGATAGCATATGTTGCTTTCATTTATTTGTCTTTCTGTCTGCTGTTCTGACTGGGTGATTTCCATTATTCTGTCTTTCAGATCACTTATTTGTTCTTCTGTGTCATTTAGTCAGCTATCCATTGCTTCTAGATTGCTTTTTATCTCAGAAATTGAATTATCCCTTTCTCATGGTTCATCTTTATAGTTTCTAGTTCCTTGTTGCAATGATCTGCATTTCTATCAATAATCTTTCTTAATTCAGTTAGCGTTTTTATTACCACATTTTGAACTGAGGATCTGGTAGACTGGTGAGCTCTGTTTCATTATTTTTTCTTTCAGGGGATTTCTTTTGCTCTTTTTATTGGGAGTAGTTTCTGCATTTTCATTTTATCTAACTTTCTGTGTCTCTATGAATTTAGGAGGAACTGTTACTTTTTGTGGGCTTGAAGGATGTTTTTATGTGGGAGCATCCCTGTGTAGACTCTGTATATGTAATATCTTTGGTGAGAGGGTTGGTTTTGATATGGACACGAGCCACATCTTTCCTTAGGGTGCTGGCTCTTTTCCCCTTGGGGGTGTGGTTGGTGTTGGGTCTAAAGTCTGTGCAGGGTGTAAGGTGGGACTTCCTCTCTGTCCATGGCTGTCGCCGTCTTGTCAGGGGTGAGGTCTGGTCCCCTGTAGTTAGAGTAGAAACCCTGATATTCAGGCTCAATCAGGCTCCGTTCCCTGAGTGCATGCCCTGACCCAAAGGAGGTGATTGCTAAAGCAAGTGAAGCCCATGCATTCACAGAGGATCGATGTGCTGCCTGTGTAGGCCTCTGAAGCTCCACCTGGATGCAGCCTAAGGTCACATCCCTTCCCCTGTTGTGTTGGTCCTAGATCTAGTGCAAGGTTGTGGAGTGGCTGGGCCAGAGCATTCACTAGTCTAGGACTGGGGTTGGGGCTTTGTGACTACAGGAATTGAGGTGGCTGAGCTGCTGCCAGAGATCTGGGCTGCCTCTGTGGCAGACATCTCATAGGACCTGTCTACCCCAGATCCAGTGCTAAGCTGCAGTGTGGAGTGGGTAGAGCTGGAGCACTCACTGGGCTGGGAGACTAACTGTGGCATGCTCCTGCAGCTCCGCCCAAGCACGCACTGACAATGACCACCACCACCCTAACTGGCTCACACCCCAGACCCCAGTCTGTCTCTGTGTAGCTATCCCAAGGATTTTCCCAGGGCTGGTTGGCCCAGATCTCATGCCAATCTATGGTATGGAGTGAGCAGGAGTGGGTGTTTGCCCCATTCAGATTGGGGAGTGCAGTGAGGTGACAGCTGCCAGTGCAAGTCTCTCTCTGTCATGATTGTTGGTGAGACAGCACACGCAGACTCCTTGGAGTAGAGCCTGGACTTCTCCAGCCCTTCTGTCTATCCCAGCAGTTCTCCCAGTAGCCAACAGGGCTTGTCTGCTCTGTGCTGTTCCGGAGGACTGGGACACCCAGATTGTGGCTCGACCTGCTCGCTCCCCCAGGTGAGGGTCCACCAATGCAGAACTTCTTTTCCTTTCAGATTCCTCTCAGGGGTGGGGGTCCCTACCCTATGCCTTTTTTCTGTCCTACCTTGTTACGTGAAGATCTTTCCTGCAGCTACGGTACAGGAGTTCTTCTGCCAGTTTCCAATTAGTTTTCCTTAAGAATTGTCCCATATATAGATTTTTTTTGGATGTGTTTGTATGGGGAGGTGAGCTCCACATCTCCTTCTCCGCCACCTTGATCCCTCCTCTGGGAAACACAATTTGTAATTGCCTGTAAGAGCTCAAAACTTGGACAGAGACTTTAAAAACACATAGTTATCAACTTTAGTCCTGAATATAGAATTTTTTTCTTTCCAAATAATCTGATAATGTTATTTATGTAAATTAAAATTTTACTATTCCCCAGTGCATCACCATCACCCCTCAGGCTTTTTTATCTTCAGGCTCAAAATAATCCCTGGCACTTGAATGACCTCGCAATGGGTATGTGAGTTCATTTGGATCTCATGGGGCCAAAGTATACTGATAAATGTATTTCTCTCACAGCTATCCACATTATCTGTTTATAAACAGCCTTATTTAATTTGAACTGAATTTGCAAACGTGGACCATTCCTAATCTTTCCCATCCTTTAAACATAGGTCAAATTGGTTCATTTTATTCTTGACTCTGATCCTAAGAATGATGTACATTTTCCCTAGGCATGTAAAGGAGAAGGAAAAAAAAATCAGTTGATCAGTGGAACAAAAACTCTCCCCAATGAGTTTCCAATAAAGAGACTAAACATCAAACACCACAAGTGCCAAAATATTTAGTAAAAGTTTGCAAATCTTTCAAAAATGTTACAACGCAGTGAAACTAATGACAAATTAGACACTGAAAACTAACATCTAGTTAAGTCTATGCAGGCACGTAGGAGAACAGGGAATATCTAAAAGCATTAACTATGATTAAACCACTGTATTAGGCTCTTTTATATATATCTCATTTGATCCCATTCAGGAAAAGTTATCCCAGACTTGGAAATTAAGGCCAAAAAAAAAAAACAAAACAAAGGATTGTGTGAGCCATAATATCATGTTAGCCCATTATCCGTCAAGCCCACCCAAGGGCCATCTGACTCTTTTGGGAAATATAACTTTGACTAATAATGCAATAAAGACCAGATTAAGGATTCTGTAAAGTTGAAGTATGATTTATAGAAAATTGATAAGGCATGATGATCATTTATTTTTGTTTTCTGATAGAGAAATTTACCTACAAGGTTATAGTTACTATATAAAAATACCTCCAAGGTTATTTCCCTTTAGAATACTAACCAGTTTTAGATCCTACTTTGCAATCTCATTTCATCAATGCCTTTTCCACTGATTACTTAAATTCCAGTTCTTCACATTTGCTCTTGTATTCTGATTGAGTTAAATGGCACTTAACTCATCGTCTATTCACATGAGAATTATGTTTTCAATGATTTAAGAATTTGTGCTTTGACAATCCTCGAACAACCACATGAGGTAGGTAGTATATCCTCATTTTACAGAGGAAGAAACTGAGTCTCAGAGGAAGCACATTACCTGCCCAAGCTTACAGAGGTAAGGAGTGACAGAACTGGAGTTTGAACACGAATATGCTTGAATTCTTTTACAGACACTATACTGATGACTCACATATGGACTCAAATTTGGACTGGAACATCTCCAAAAAATCAACCTCATGTGTTTGAATTATAAATATGACAGCTGAATATCAAAACCAACTAACTCTGAATGACCTAAACCTGCATATTTAAATAAGTAATTAAAAAGACTGTTTATTAAATTGTTTGGTTTCAAATCTGAACTTTTAAAAACTGGATATGTTGAAAATATTTGCACATACATTACATGGAATAGTATCATCAAAGTGTGAAATTCCAGTGCTTTGCTGAGTCCATTAATAGCTGTAGATGAGGCAGAGAAAATAACTACTGAAGTTGTTATAAAAGTCATTGAAAAGTATTTAGAATACTTTCCAGAGTCTCTCTTTGACATTTCATGAACATGTCCCTGAGAATTTTTTGAATAAATTTGACCAAATTGTCAGCCTATTCTACTGTAAAGATGTTCAGTCTACTTTGTCTCTAGACTAGTAGAAAAATGTGGAATACCAACATGTTTTTCTGCTCTTCAGGCATGAAGGTGATTTGTTGTCCTGGCTGAACACACAGGTAGGGATCAAGACTGGACAGTGACAAGCTGCTGTAAGTCTGGAAGCACCTTAGTGTACACTGTGTACCTTTTAAATCTTAAAAGTGTATCTTGGGAATGGCTGATCTTACATATAAGCGTTAATCTGTCACAAAGATGCTTTTCAGCTGGGATATATACCTTGTGAATGCACCCTTTTATTCACCTGAAGACCCATTCTCTGTATATGCAGATTTACAAGTGTTTCTCCATAAATAAGATTCTAAAGTACAGATCGATTGGTATCTAGGTTGATTAAAAAAAAACCTTGTGCTGGTATTGTGAGGGTTTTGTCCACCAACTCATGAATTGGACAGTGACCTCGGACCTGGTTTTCAGTAGAGCACATCTCTATTGGATGGCACTGGCCACTGTCTGACACAGGTTTAGGTTAAGCGAGGCCATCTGACCCACCCCTAACCCCTGATCTTAAACTCTGGAGCCAGCTAATTTCAGCTCCAGCCGAAGTGAAAAGATAACTGTGTGGTTCAAATTCATCTTGACTCACAGTTTCACTGTTTTATCCTGGCTAAAGCTGCTCACTGTGTCTGTGGTTTTCTTACATAAATTTTCAATCCAGCTAGTGCTATTATACAGTGTCTTTTCCAACCCTGATGTCGGGGGTGGATTTTTAGCTCGCATATTTTTTCCAGATGTGATAAGCTCTCCATAGCCCTCTTGGTGAGCAAAAGCATATCCAGATCTTCTCGAGCTTGATCTCCGAGTCTGAGGCTTTCGGCTACGCAGGGGTCTTGCCTTCTTTTGAGCCTTCTGCCACTGGCGGATCTGGAGACAAAGGAGACCCAGAGTGAGATGAAGCATCCAGATGATATAGACTCCACACAGTGGGCCACTTTGTGAAGTGTAAAGCCTTTTCTGTAAAAACAACATGAATGATAACCAAGTATTCAACTTCACTGCAAAATCAAGTTTTTCACCTAAAAGCCAAGCAATTTTCTACCCAAAAGATTACACTGGATACTGGTTAGTTTTTATCTCTACTGAGAGACTATTAAGACTATTAAGAAGTGTTAAGACAAATTTCATTATTGTCCCCATCTAATACATCCACCTTAAGTGAACAGGAACATACTTTTGTACAGAAAAGATTTTCTAACGTGCACCAGCCAAATACAGTCAGTATAAAAATGTACAGACCCATGTGCCCCAAATAAGTCTTTCCTCTCTCTTTTAGAGGTTCTCAGGATCCAGTAGTCATTAGTAACTGGACTAAGAGAAAATTTAGAAAATGAGAGTCACAAAATTTCAAACTCTTGTGGTAGGTCAAAGTACCATGGGATTTTCAGTGTTTTGATTTCTTTGGGGGTTTTTTGTGGTCTTTTGAAGAGCTCAACATTGTTTGGGTGGGTTTCTAGCATTTATTTCATTTCCCTATAACGTTGAGGAGGAAGAGATCCAAGGTTTGGTGCTCAGCACCTTGTTCTTTAGGTCAGCTGATCGATTGCTTGGCTTCTGACTTTCATGTCGGGAGAAAGCCATTAAGCAGAAAATCATGATGTGTATAAACATAGGAAGAAATGAGCATCATCTTCCTTCAGCTCATCCATCATTTTCTGAGTTGACATCAGAATGAGCTCACAGAGCCAAAGGGAAAGGACAAACATAACAGGGGAATCCACGAATCATTTCAGAAGGAATCTCTTGGTACTTTGGCCCCAGAACATGAAGGATTTCATGATAAGGGAATTTCTACCTCAGTTCTTCTCAGCATCACCACCCTGGTCACTCACCCCCCTCAATATTTCCCCCTTCTCAAGACATAGCTACAAATGCATCTCCTCTTTCTCCTTTTCTCATCTATCTGGGTCCTGACCTAATTTGACATTGTGTTGCTTATACTCCTCTTTCCATAAAATACTGGAATATGTTCTGTCAATCCCTTGACTTAGGTATTTCTAGAATCTGTTCTTTCTGTTCTTCTAACTTTATATTTTCCAATCCAGCCATCATGTTGCTGTTCCCTTTCTTAATCTGTTCAGAAAGTAACCTCTCTCCCATGTTTAACAATCTGCTACTATGTTTCTACAGAAATTTAGAGCCCCTTCACCTCATACTTTGCTCGTCTCTCTTTTACTGTACCCTTTACTTTCCCCAAGTCAGTAACTTTCCCTCTAGCTTGCCTTTGCCTTGGAGCAAATGTCCAAAATGCTGCCAGCAAGCTTGTTTTTTAAGAGTCAACTTTTAAAAATATCCAATCTCACTTGTAATTTACGACTCCCCACCCACATTTAGTGTAGACAGTTATCTTCATTGGCACTCCCAAGGCTAGTATGTTCAGTTGTGGGCAGTTCCAGCTACTGTGATGTGATGCCGTGCACCTGTAGGTGTTGCTGATGGGAAGTTCATTAGCTCTTCTCTGGACTTCTAATCAGGCAGAGGACATGATTCCAAGAGCAAAGAACCAACCCCTCAAGTACCCAGCAGCACTACAACATACCTGATCACTCAGGGTTGGGAATAAATCCACCTTCAAAAATCTGAATGCCACCACAGGCATAACTGAAGCCACTATCGTTAAGAGAATAACAAGCCAGATGCACTTCTGGGTCAAGGAATGTCGTGCATTTCCTATTATTAAAGAAAAATAAACACTGTGATTATAAATAGAACTGAATTATTGAATTAATTGGTTGTCTATTCCCATAAGGTCTTTTTTGAAAGGGACTTTTGGACTACCTAGGAGAATCACTGGGTATCTTCCCCAGTATATCATATGCTCAGTGGTGATAAGAGTGCAAGAATGGTAAGATCACCCTTGGGAACTGCTTCATGGCCTGATCACTAGGGGACTGCCAGCCAGAGCCAAGCATTCTCTGATCCAGGCTCAGTCCAGCTTCACTCATGAAGCAGAATTCTCCCATCCAGCCTCAAAATCCCTCAACTACAAAGCAGTCAGTCATTATTTTTAAAGGCACATTTACCCTTATGGATTCAAACAAAACTATCATATCAAAACTACACAATGTATGTTCCGGATGCAGGTACAATCGCAAATACTGGTCTTCTCAACTGGCTATGTCATAAAAGGTGAGCTGTGTCTACTACAGGGTCAACCTTTTAAATTCAGGCAACAGCCCCCAAAAACCTGCCTCAGAGGGACTTACCAATCTCTCTGTCTCATAACTTCACTCGGTTATGAAGTACTCAAGGTTCCAAGGAGATCAAAGATGCTCTTGGGTTTGTGAAAAGAGCATTCTCCACGCTGGGAAACCACTGATTCAGCCATTCAATATTCTAGTTCAATAGAGTAGTGAAACTCATTTCCAAGCCTGGAGCCAGTTTTCTTATTTTATACTCACACCTCGTATACTGGGATGTTCGTTTAAACAAAGCAATAAGGGTCAGTAAGGCAGGCAGGCAAACTATACGGAAGATGTCAACCCTACTTATGAACTGTTGTTCCTGTTGGTTTTCTAGGCATATGATACCTCCAATTATCCAGGTTCCCCCTCCCAATGCATTAGTTAACACAATTTTAATGGGCTTTGGGTGTGATGCTTGGCTCCTTATTGGAATGTCTGCATTTTCTGTCTTAGGAGGATAGACTCTGCCTACCAAAGAGCACTTGATTGATTCCATTTGCCTGGGCAGAAACAAACTTGACTCAGTAAATTAAATGTCTTTTTGAACTCCCTGAAGCTCAGTACCCCCAGGCATGGCTGGAAAAACAAGCATCACTTTAAAACCACACTCCTGCTTGCTGCTGGCTACTAAGGAAAAAAAAATTTTCTTAAACCTCAATGTTGATTTAAGTTTTGAAAAGTCTCATTGGAACCCAGTAATTAATTCCTGGAATGGCATGTGCTTAGACAGTGGTCCCCACACAAACTACTTTCTCCAGTTGAGGCATTCCAGTCTCATTATGCATGTTCGAATGCTGTCTTAGGACTGGAAGTCTTCTGGTTAATGCACTGAACTTTCAGCTTTGGCAACCAAAAAGAAAAGAAAAAACTTAAAAGTAGTTTAAATGGCTCTCTTTTTCCTAATGTGTTTATTCTTATTCACGACCATCATGTTTATACATGGTTGGAATCTTTTGATAAATAAAGGATTAACATTACATGTTAAGTAAGAGAGGTACAATTTAAAGATTTCCACGTACACACAGAGGAAGGCAAAACTTGAATACAACACTCTTAAGCATATACATGCATTTAAATGGAATTGCAATTTGGAAATGTATAACCCTATAATCGCTCTGGAAATGTATTTGGAAATGTATAACCCTATAATCGCTCTGGAAATGTATTTGGAAATGTATAACCTTATAGGGTTATAAATGTATAGCCCTATAATCGCTCTTATTTTGCTTTCTACATGAATCAGTCTTCTAAGAATTATTTTTCTAGACTGGATTTCCCAACTAGTGGATGCAAATCTGTCTTGCCTAATCGAGCTCAAGTAGCTTGTCACTATGTATCTCCCTTTTCCACAGTTTGCTGGGATGAACTCAGAAACATCACTGTTACCAACTTATTTCACACACACTAGAGATTTCAAAACTTCTTTAAAAGTCTATTAATAGCCCCACTGTGTAAAGCTCAGTGGCCCTTGCTGGGAATCATTTTGAAATGTGGAGTGCAATGATAGTATACTCCAAAGATAGACCAGATATATACTCTTTGTAGAATCATAGAATCTCAGGGGTTTAAGGGATTTTAGGAAGTCTTTTGCTACCCATCTGCTGTTCGATGTCCCCAACCAGTAACCAAGCCACATTTGCCTTAATCACCATCTTCATCATCATCAAGGCTAACATTTACTAAAAAAGTATTATGTACCAGGCTACATGCTAAGCATTTCATACGCATTATATCATTTAACCCTCACCAATTTGCTATAAAAGTAGGAACTATTAACATCCCCAAGTTTAGAACTGAAGACATTAAGGCATGAAAAGGAAAAGAAACTTGCCTAAGGTCACACAGCTTATAAGTGGCAGAGATGACACTTGAACACTGGCTGTCTAACTACAGAGACTATTCTTGGTGCCACTCATGGACTATGTCCAGCAATTTTTAAAAGGCTCTAAATTATACATTATTTCTTTTCTAATTGCAAATAAGTTCCACAGGTAAACTTAGGCAGAAATGTCGGTGATAATGTGGCATAAAAGGGAAAGCCTGGCATTTCTTTCTCTTCCCTCTATCATACATGAACTTCACAGGTTTTCAGGTATCCCTGATCTATAGGTGCTATGCCTGTTATTTGGAAAGGGACAGTCTACTGCATCTGGGCTGTTAGGAACCTGTAAGCAGCTATCTCAGTGATTCTGCATCTAGTAGGGACAGCAAAACCTAATCTTTTGGAGCTCACTTCAAGCCTGTAAGCCCTCAGATGTCTGGCTCAATCAATTCCTAGAGACAGAATTATTGGTCATCCCTAATCCCACCAAAGAAAATAAATTACAAAGACAAATAAACGACAACTTGACACTAGGCCCCGGCAAATAGTGGGACTCACTTACCAACAAATGGAAACTGCCTTGGGAAGATGCCAAAGAGGCCATTACTGTGCATGGTAAATAAAATGGAGAAATAAGTGGCAATGCTGCCCCAGACGAAGACATGATTAATGATAGTCCAGTAACTGGTATCCAAGGCTATCTGTAAATAAAGTCAAACACAAAGGGGAGACTGTTGAGGATTAAAAGAGCATCATTTTACTGAGTAATGTTTCCTCAGAACTGTTCTGTGAGAAGACAGTGGCGCATGTCTAGTTTCCAGCCAACCATAGGCCTTACCACTTTCTGCACAACACAGGGGACTAATGTGACATTCCTGGTAGACAAATGACTTTAGGACATACATCTGCAAGCCATTATATCTAGCAACGTTGAATCAAAAATCAGGAAATAAAATGTTAAACTTCTTTTAAGTGAGAAATAAGAAAGCAGAATGGTTTCTAATTTCAAAGCTACTTTCCAAATTGCCCTCAAAATTTTTCTATTGGAAAACTATTTTTCATAGTGAGCAAGTGCAACATTTTAAAATCTGTACATAGGGCTTCCCTGGTGGCACAGTGGTTAAGAATCCACCTGCCAATGCAGGGGACACGGGTTTGAGCCCTGGGCTGGGAAGATCCCACATGCCGCGGAGCAACTAAGCCTGTGCACCACAACTACTGAGCCTGCGCTCTAGAGCCCGTGAGCCACAACTACTGAGCCCATGAGCCACAACTGCTGAAGCCCGTGCACCTAGAGCCTGTGCGCCGCAATAAGAGAAGCCACCACAATAAGAAGCCCGTACACTGCAAGGAAGAGTAGTCCCCTCTCACCGCAACTAGAGAAAGCCCGCACGCAGCAATGAAGACCCAATGCAGCCCCCAAAATAAATAAATAAATAAATTTTTAAAAAACTAAAAAAAAAAATCTGTACATAGATTTTCATATGACCATTTTGATACAGGTATAATCTTTACATAAATATTCTAATTCATTTTGGTTATCATTTCTCTTAAGTTATTCAAATAATAACAAAGAAAAATCCTTAATCCACTTAAGGCATAAAATTCAGAAGCTGGGGTTCATGGTGATCTGGGAACATGCTCACAAGCCCTTCTCCCTTCCAATAAATTATTATGGCAGTAGAGCTGCAAAACGGTAACCTGTTATGGGGAAACCAAGACAGCCACTGGTGAATATGAACACTTGAGTTCTCAGAGAAAAGAAAAGTAGGTTCTAGCATCCTTATTTGCATATCAGAGGCACCAAATGGTCCAAGTGAAGGCTTGCATTTCTAGCACAGTCTGATGCAAGGCCAGATTTACTGCCTGCCTGACGGGGCTCTACCTACATAGTAAACAGATTCCTCTCTGCACATGGAGACATACTTCCCCTTCCCACATGACGTTTACTGGCCTTTCAAATGATGCCCCCTAAAAAGAATGCTAAGACCAATCACAAGCACTGAAATTGAAAATGTGATTAAAAATCATCCAACAAACAAAAGCCCAGGACCAGATGGCTTCACAGGCGAATTCTATCAAACATTTAGAGAAGAGCTAACACCTATCCTTATCAAACTCTTCCAAAATATAGCAGAGGGGAGGAACACTCCCAAACTCATTCTACGAAGCCACCATCACCTTGATACCAAAACAAGACAGGGATGTCACAAAGAAAGAAAACTACAGGCCAATATCACCGATGAACATAGATGCAAAAATTCTCAACAAAATACTAGCAAACAGAATCCAACAGCACATTA